CACACAACACATACCTGTACTCTATGGTCCATTCAATCTGTCAACGCGCATAAATTACCAATTTAAAATAGGAAAAATGTTGGCCCCGTCAAAATTTAGGATGCACATTTTGACATATGCACGCCGAAGCACGGAGACAGACAAATGAAATAGGACACAATTTGCAGGTAAATTCAAATTATTGTGTGTCATGTCAAATGCAAGCGAGCAAGAGTAACAATAGTTGACGAAAAGCACTGCGAATATATCAGATTAAGAGCATTATAAAATGATATTGTTTGAAATTCCCTTCGGTGATTTCTACGAAACACATCAAATTTCCGAAATGAGGAATCCATATAGATGCCATTAAATCTCGTGCTTTTCGCATATGCTTTTGGAGCATTCGGTTCTAAAAAGCCACGTGAAACATTCTTATAGTCGAAGCTGATACGCACATCGAATTATTTCATATTTTGTCGGAGAGAGAATTGTGAATTTCGATGCTTTTACCACATGTTTGTTGAAACTTGAAACATATTAAAACAACCAAAGCCAATCAAATTATGACGTATATGATCTGCACATTTTCTGCCAATATTTTACGTCGTCATATAATTATATAATTTTCTCTCGCGGCTTAAAAAAACGACAAACATTTCCATATAAAACAAAAGATGTGTCGTGAGCATCCATTTACCGCGATGCAAAGTTTCCCGTTTTAATTGGAAATTGTAGAAACATACGGCGTTCCGATTTGTGGCTAATGTGATTTAACATACTTCACTGAAAAATGTTTAATTAAGTAAATAATTTACGGCGGTGTTTGCATCGAAATCGACTTTCATGCGTTAAGTAGTTTTCGACAGCGATATCGCACGTTTTTTTCATGTTGGTTCTCACCACAGCAGCATATCAAGTAAGTTTTAATTACTTCGATGCCATGGCAATGATTCCAAATGTTATGCTTATCTCATGAGAGGCTTATGGCATACCCAAAGATTCGAATTGAAAAAATCGGTTAATGATAGCGCTTGTATGTAGTTTGTATTTGAAAAAGTGCCAAAAGCATTGTCAACTACAAAAAACTTTGTTCACCAACTTTAAAGTGACTAACATTCTATTGTTAAATAATGATTCCCATGTACAGTTTTTTTCTCTCTCTCTCTCTCTCTCTTTCTCTTGCACTCTCTCACATGCCTTCTTTCGTTTAATTAAATTATTGCCGTTGTAATGGAATAACTCAAACAACAAAGTCCCTTTTGTAACATTGTATCCGTAACATAAAGCGTTTAGGTTATGAGATATAATTTGGAAGAAATTATTTAATTTCCTATCACATTCGGAATCAGTAACATATTCCTAATTCCATTGTAAGCCTCCGATAAAAAGAGAAAGAAATACTTTTTTTTTATGTTCTTGTTTTTATTGTCGTCGTCGTAAATTGACAAACAGCAATTGCCTCTATGCCTACCGCTGATGATGATGACAAACATAGTAATATGCATGTGTTCATCGTTTCGACAGAGAAAATTGTCGCTGCTGGCATGTTTACGACGTAAATGCAAATTCTCAATGTATATAGTTGTCACACACACAGAACGTCGTGCATTATGCGATACAAATCAGCATGACAGACGTAGCACAGTATATTGTAACTTGGTTCGGCTTTTTCTCTTTCTCTGCGCCAACTTATACCATGCAATAAAGACAAAGTGTTTACACTGGAAACATTTGTTTTTCGTTATTGTTCGTACATAATTCGTTAAATCAATGTATGATATGACATATATGTGTGATCACATTCTTGTCGTCCGCTCTAGGCGTATACAAAATGTGTGTGGCTTGGTGTGACTGAAAACTGTCGTTTTATCTTATGCACACATTCTTACAAAATGTACTCAAATAAAATGAAAATTGGTATAAGATGGTGAAACAACGGCGAAAATGTTAAACTATGTGAAAGACATAATACATGGAGATCAGGACAAATATAAGACGCGATCACATTGCACTGAATATGTGGTGAATTACATATTTTATTGGCTCATATGAAGTAATTTAAACGGTTCGTTGGCCGATCCATTCATTTTCTAAGCCACATTCACTCCTGTTCACCAAAGCCTCGATGCAAAAAAAAAACTTTTTTACATCTTGGCCACTTTTGTATTTTGTTTTGACGGGTGAATTTCGAAGGTAACAACTGTTAAATTCCTGAATTCACACAGACACCGCATTTAAACTGTTTATGTTCTCTGTCACTATTCGTTATTATGAAAGAGTTGAAATAACTGTTTGGAATGGCGTCGCATTCACTCGGTGACATGGATGTGATTGGTTTGGTTGCCTTTTTTTGTCGAGTTTGTTGCGCTCTGGCATTGAGAAATGGTATCATGCACCCAGATAAATTTAAAACGGCAATTCTGTATTCAGTTTGCTTTTTTTAGTTTATTTATTTATTTATTTCACTTCAACCATTACGCCTTTCAAACATGCAAAACTTTAAACCATGCCAGTAGTATGGACTCGAGTGATTCAAGAATTGTTGAAATTCACTCAGTTAAATTGACTGAAATCGTTGATGGCATGGCATGAGCAAGAAAACCGTCAAGATTAAAAAGCAATTTCATCGAGTAATATTTCAGCATTTAATTTCCGATGCAACTTTATTCAAGCTAAACGAAAGCCCGAAGGTAATTTCGAACGATTGCTCATCACTGCGCGTGTGTGTGTACTTTTTCATAATTTCTTACTCGTTCTCTTTCATTCGCCTGTTGACTCCACGCTCAAATCACCGATTTTCATTTTTATCTGTGTTTCAAATTAAAATTCAATTTTGAGCAATTTCCATTCGTGCGCGCCGCACCATCGAATGCAAGAAAGAGCCAAAAAATGGCTTCATCCAAATAAATATTTATGCATTTGAATGGCAGAGATTTTCTTAAGTTAGCTTCTTCGCCGAATGTATACGACGACGATTCAAAAAGAAAATGAAAATCGATTTATGTGCTTCATCTCTCTCGCATTTCAAAAAGAATGAACGAAAAAAATATATAACGGAGAAAGAGATTCACATTGCAAATACCAGGGATTATGTTTGTGAAACGTGAGTGAGCACATGGAAAATCATTTTTCCACGAGCCCTCCCCGAAATGCGAGCAAATCCTTCAAAGGCAAGACAAACAAAGACAGACAGAAGACTCAAAAGGAACTTCACAAACGAGAAAATGTGGATTAATTGAATTTGTGTACCTCAATTTATTCATAGTGTCGCTTGTTTATGTCGATGGTTTTTATTTTCGTCTTCAGAGAATTGTTGAACGAACCATCATCAAATGGCTCGACATTATGGCAAATGGAATCAAAATCTCTCCATTTCTGGTGGATTCTCTGGTGATATTGACGTGTGTATGTGCCTCGTGAATCAACATTAAATTCATTGTCACAAGCTCTTAAGCGATTGAGGAAAAATTGAAGAAAAATACCGAAGTGAAATCACTTCGCTTCACTGGGAAGTCATTATTCTTAATTAAATATGGAGATGAATTCAAGACGACCGAAAAGTCATTGATAATAAAGAATAATTAAAAGCTGATATAATTGAACGATGCGTTTGCATGAATACGTTTTATGAGTTTTTCATGCAAATGATAAATACTCGAAACGAAATCGAAGCAGGCATCATCATTAGCCCAGGAAGAAAATGTCTAACCCCCAAAATGAGACAAGACAACCAGTGCATGACCAAAGTTCGGAAGTAATCGAAGTCAATGTCATTTGTTTTTTGTTTTTTGCTTCGTTGCTGATGGAATCCATGATTTCGATAACTATACATGTATCAAGTCGACGATTATGGAATATCTTTTGCTTCTTTGTACAGTTTTTTTGCTATTTCATGAACGTGGATCGAATTGGAAATGGACGACGGTAAATACGGCAATGACGAAGAATATTTTTGTATGTCTATGGATGTGAGAATATTTGCACGTACAACGGCTATAAATAATGAAGTTCGAGGCTTTCCGCTTTTATCGAATGAATGTAATTTTACTTTGTTATCAATATTATGTGTACCGTTATTTATGCCCATCTCGACAACTATATATACATTTACACGTCTACGTCGCAATTGTAATATCAATGTAGAGCCATGCTATTGCTATTCTTGGCGATTCATTTGCATTTAAGCGTTCAATAACACAGGAAATTGTTTGCGATGTGCTTCTAAGTGCCGAAGTGTTTCTCTTGTTTTAAAACGACAACGAAAACCACCACACTCAAACAGTTTCATCGACATGAACTATAGCGAAGTAAAGTGTTTTCTCAATAATTCGTCATTTGCATATTATTTTCCATTGAATTGGCTACGCAATGGAGTGAACGTAAGTACTGATCTGGGCTTATGCCTGTATCCATCGTTTTACCCATCATCCGTCGATATATGTGTATACACTGATTAATTTGCTCTTGATTTTTTTTCGTATCATCATCATCTTCTTCATTTTCTTTTTGCATGTATCTTGGGATTTGAGCGGCAAATAAAATGAAAATTCATTCACCGAACGATTTGTTATAGTAAACTGGTCGTTGTAATTTATCAACTAATCAAGTGGTTGTTTCGCAGATTCAACACAAATCAAATGGATGTTGTTATGCTAACAACAACAACATCGACACAATTGAGACGCAAAGCAGCGTGTAATTTATTAATTGGTTTGAGAATTTACACTAAATGCGGTGAAAAGATAATCGAATGTCAATCACAACAGTGAGCGATAATGAATTTCTCTTCTGCAAATGTCATCGACAAGTTCAGTACACCTTTGTTAATTAAATTGATTGAATCGAAGATATTGCTGTTGATGACAGTGAAATGCGGAAATCGATCAATTTCCTAGTGTTTTTTTTTGTCGTTGCTTTCTTATTCATTTTTATCAATTTTATTTGTGATTTCAATCAAAAACTGAATATAATAAATCTGATAATAAATGATAAATAAAGATGTGATAAAAAAATCTAACCTGGTGGTAATAAACCGCTACCGGTCGGAGCTGTAACTGGATACTGGAATGTGTCAGCACGTGCTACCGAATTCGAAATTAATCCAAATGTATTAAGTAGAACAATTGCAGCGTAAACATTAAGCGCCAAATTCCATGTGAACGGCCGAAAATGCTGTTTAACTGTTGATGTTGTTCGTTTGTCATTGTTACGGCTACCACCGCATTGAGCAGTAGCTGAACGATGAGCCGATGTCAATGAAGACACCCACATTTTGTCACCACCTGTAGCACAGTGGTGCCACTGTTCTCTAAATTCAAAAACAAAATGGTTCTTCCCAAATGAATTTTTTTTCTTATTTTTGTAATCTTAATTAAATCTGCCCGGTTTACCGCACATTCGGGCCTCTTTCAATTTGCCATCCAAATATCCAAAGAATACGAAGTATCAAATCACTTTTTCGTGAAACTTTGTTTTTTTTTTTTTGCTATTCAACTCTTTGCAAATTGTTAAAAACTTTATTATTGATATAAATTTTCAATTCTTTTTTCACACCGATCGAAACACAAACACACTTTGATGAAAAATAAAAATAAAAAATTGTTATCTATTTTTGAATTTTTACAAGCACTGAACAAAAGTCGTTTTCTTTTACACGTTTCGGTAATAACTTTCTCCCCTTAGTGTAGTGTGCGCTTCTCACCGCCAGCTAATTGATTCTGTAAGTAGACAAAAGAGAAATAGAAATTAAACAACTACAATAACAATTCGAATCGAAAAGAAAAAAAACTATGCGATTTAACATTGAAATTGGCGGCGTGAGAGACTCGTGATCACATTTTTCAAACCACATTGTACATTGATGCAGCTGGTGATGCGCTGATGCTGCTATTGCAGCTACTTTTGAAGCTCTTCCGTTGCTGCTGAGTAATGAATGAAATGTAATTTTCTTTTTCTAAACAATTTGTATTTTTTTGTTGTTTCACATTTTCTGAAAATTAATTCACATCCAAACACATTACTGACACACAAATGAGCACCATTGATGCTGTTGATGGTGATGGTGGTGTTGGTTTTGACGGTGTTGAACCGTTGTTGGTGCTGTCAGCGTGCACGACAAACCGCGAATCATTTGTCTGTAATTGACTTGAGCTATTGTTTGGCTGCAAAATGCATTTGCAATTTAAGCCATTGTTTTGTGTGTTAATGGAAAGATTTCGTATATGTTTCTTTTTTCTATGCTTCGTGAAATCGACGACCTGCAATTAAAATGAACAAGTCCGAAAACGTGGTGGCAAAGCAAATGAGAACGCTGAACATTGACGAAAAAGACGATGAAGCGGTGGCTTTTGTGCTTTTTTTCGAAGCCAAACCTATCATCGTGCCCGATGAATGGTTCATGAATTGTAACGGCATCGAACAACAGAGCAGTCAAAATTTATTGATTGTATTATGACAATCGAATCGTGCATCAGTCAAAGTGAAAGACAGCGGCAAACTGTGTGGTGTGTTGAACTTTGTGATTTGAGATGAAAATGTCTTTGACTCTTGTGTGTCTGTCTATGGTGATTGTTTGTGGAAATTAGGCCAAATATCATGTAGTTAGACACACACATACATCTATTGTTTGAGAATGAAAACCACACGACACTCTCCATGAATCAAATCAATTTTTTATGTGCGTGTATGTGGATGACATTAAAATTTGTAAATTGAATAAAATTAAAGTGTTTCCGCATGAAATTTGAGCATTAATGCCTTAGACATATACTGTGTGATATGATAGCATGACCGGCCTAGGTGAATTGAGTAAAAAAAATGCGACTGTCGTTTCTTTGCGTCGAGTATTCTCATTCTTTATACATGCATGGAATGTGCGTATCTGTGCCGGCGGCCCATCCATTTAAAAATCAAACAAAACCGGAAGAATGAAGAACACACAATTGAAATTAATCGAATAAATTCCAATTAGACATCTTTTTGTTTGTTTATTTGTTTGAGTGGTATACGCCTCACTCGCAACAAACACCATTTAAATGGTGTAAACTATGCTGGAGATATGCTGTGTACATAAAACTCATGATCCAATGATAGATAATGAGATTAAAATTGAAAGACGCACTCGCGCCTTTGTCCAAGAAATTTTTCAATCTTCGATTGTTTGTCTCTCGCTTACTCGTTCTCTGAACAAAAAAATACATGTGTCAACCGACGATGACACCAAGTGTTCGACCAAAATGAACCGATTCAAAGTACGCAAATAGAAAACGCAATAGCCACAGAATGGGTTTTGTTCACCAAACTGTGTGATATGGCATGGTAATATGAGTACAGTGATTGAATTCAATTTCAGTGATTTCAAGCAAACCACAAATGCGAGTGTTTGGTTAGAAATAACAAAATCCAAAGTGACAAGAGCAACAATTCATAAGTGAAACAAAGAATTTAATGAAATTAACGTGGAAATGAGAATGTTTTATAAAAAAGAACTTGAAACAATTTCACTCGCATTCTACAATGAGTGACGACGATCGTCGTGACGTGACAGTGATGAACGAAAATTAAAACCAAAGAATTGGAATGAAATGGAGAAAACAAAACAGAGATAAAGAAAGAGAAATAACATAAAGTACTTTAACAACAAATTATTTCAATATAACAACGAAACGGCTGCGTTGCCTCTTTCAATTGTTGCAGAGATCGAGGCAAATGAGCGAACGCGCGCACATTGCACACAGGAAATAGTACTTGTGGAACGAAACACCAACACCAACAAAACGTACATCATTTGGATCGTCTTTGTTTCTTCATAGCACTTCTCTCGCTCTCTCCTTCTCTCTTGCTCGCTCATATGTACAACATTACCATTATTATTACTGTTATTATTATTTCGTTTGCTCGTCGTCGTCATCATCGTTGTTGTTATTTTCTCAAATTACTTATGCAGTAGCAGTGAAAGTTGGATGTTCAGTATATGTATATGCAACAAACATGGACATTTATGCATAATAAACTTAAAATGTCAAGACAAAATATGCTCTTGAAAAATACATGAAAATACACACATCAAACAATCTCCGGACTACAATGCAATGCAATTTTTAAAGAAGCAGAAAAATTTCATTTTCTCAACAGAGGCTCTTGCTTGTCTGCTCCCTTCAAGTCTATCTCTCTCTCTCTCTCTCTCTCTCTCTCTCTCTCTCTCTCTCTCCATTTTCGAACTCTATAAGCCGCTCTTGACTCGGCAGCAAACAAAATATATGTGTGTTGCTTGTACACACGCTGCCAACGGCATTGCTCGAACATACTACTTTGTAAGTTTCGTCGTTGTTGTCGCCGTCATCATCATCTAGTTTCGCTTACGATATATCTGAATTTGCGAATGCATTTTAAATCCCTTGTTTTTCTCTCTTTCTTCTTTACTTCGTTCTCTTCATCTGATAATTAAATTTCAGCAACAAAATGGAATTTTCGAAAAATGAACAGAGATTTCTATCGCTTGTGTTCCTCTGCTAACGTTAAATCTTATCAAACAATCGTTCGGATTTTTTTTTCGTCAAAATTGTATGTATAAAATGGAGTTGTCGGTGAATGAATTCGACCTATATATTCGAAGAACAACAAAAAATGAATGCAAGCACAAAATCACATTTTATAAATAAGCGGTTGTGATTCGTAGAATTGGTCGCATTTTGCATATATATTCGTTCAAATATTTATGTATTTTCGTTTTCAAATAAAAAATAACGCTTTCTCATACCAGACGCATTAAGTGGATGATGTGACAAAGGAAAAAGAAAAAAAAAACTGAACACATAATAATGAAAAGTGCATAATTTGTGAATGTATAAAGTGATTTGACAATGAGCACATATTATGCTGACTAAAAATCAACTAGAAGCTGACTAACACACAATTCAAAATACGAAATAATTGATATATTTCAGTTTGAATGCGACTCCGTCTGCATACGCGGAAATTGCATTAAATTGAGCACATTTTAAAGTGGGCGCGAATGATGAAGGAAAAAAACGTATATAAGATGTATTTATTTGTTGCCGTCGCCACAACCGCCACCACCGACGACATCTTTTTTTAATAAACGAAATAATTTACGAGTTGTACGTGCATGCATGACATTTGGGCAACTTAAATAACCTTATTCAATTAGGGAATCGATTCGTAAGCGCAATGCTTGAGATCGACTCGTTCTTACTGGATGTAAGCTCAACAGTGCAAGCGTAAACAAATCATTCTGACGAGCGTAAATGAATGTTCACTTTTTATTCGCCTTCCTTATGAGTTCATTTAACGAACAGTCAAGAAAATTATAGAACGACGCTTCCGCGACTTTTCTCTCTTTCTCTCATGGAGATGATTGATGTGATTCACGCTATTTGCATTCATTCACGTTGAATCATGAGCTCATTTTTTATATTGTTAATCTCTTGAGATTAGAATAAAGCAAGACAATGGTCCAAAATATACATCATTCCGGCTGCAAGTAACGGTAAAATTATACTAATTAGGTAATTTCATGTATATATACATATATATATTATAATGATGTCATCATCTTAAATGTTTCAACAGAATAGGGTATCGATTGATCGACAATATTGAACTACAACTTTCACAATAAATTACATTTGAAGCGAATTAAAATTAGAGATTAAAACACCTTTCGTGAATGTCACGTCAAGGTGAAAAAAAATATCTATTTAAAACAAACGAATATTTTTGTAAGATGTTTTTATTCAAATACGTTTCAATAAAGTGCGAATTTGTTAAAAACAACATTCTTGAAGATTTTACGAACAATTTTTCAAGCAAAAAAAGCTTCATACGCTGATATCTAATAAAAAAAAATCTGCCATGTGTATACATCGGTATACTTACTAATACTATATTTGAAAAATGTCATGTAGAACAGTAAAAAACGGTATAAAATGGCTTAATTTGTTACCAGAATTACATTGTTTCGGAGAAGATACATCAAATTCAAAATTTCTTCGGTGGCTGACTTGTGTATAAAGTAAATTCAATAATTCTTTCATTTGCCGTGTAAAGTTCTTTAATTTTTTCAACTTTAATTCCATTTTTTTTTTCATATTTTGTGTGAATTCAAATATATTTCTTATTTTCTGATAGAAAATTCAAACATGCTTGATACGTTTGTCCGTAAAAGCTATTTAGCGCTTTCGATCTTTGCGTTGCTGTTAATGTTTTCAATCGATTTTGTGCGAGCAGTAAACAATTACTTGGACTTAACTATATTGCACAGCAATGATATGCATTCAAAATTCGCGGCGTGGGATGGTTTCGGTGGTTTTGCCCGTACATCGCATGTAATAAAGGAGCATCGACGAGCAGCCAAAAATGGTGGTCCACCCGTTTTATATTTAAACGCAGGTACGAATTTATTCACTTAAAACGCGCCGAATTCAAATGAAATTCTCAATTTTAAATTCAGGTGATGTTTATACCGGATCTAGGTGGTTTAATTTATTCAAAGATGAAGTTGTTACTGACTTCATGAACGCCTTAAAACCAGACGCAATGGTAAGTAATCAATGATTTAAAGAAAAAAACAACATATTTCACAAAATTTGTTCGGAACAGTGTTTGGGCAACCATGAGTTTGACTTTGGGCTTGATCCTTTGGTGCCATTTTTGGAGCATGCAAATTTTTCAATTGTTTTTACAAATCTAAAAAATAAAGCCGATCATCCGTTGCGTAAGCATACAATACCCTCTGTTGTTTTCAAAATAAAAAAATTCAAAATCGGTGTGATTGGTTATCTTACTCCATCAACGGCAAGGTGGGTACCAAATTGCGCAGTCGATTTTAGGCCAGAAGTAGAGGCAATCAAGTAAGTAAACTTCGACCGAAATAGCACCTATCCACATTAAATGAACTCGGATATCAATCTATACAATTCATTATTTCTTTTTCAGTGAAGAAGCAAACAAATTACGAAAAAAGGGTGTAAAAACTATAATTGGTTTGTCCCATTCTGGTTTTGTGGACGATTTGAAAATAGCTGAAAGTTGTCCACTTCTCGATCTTGTCATTGGAGGGCACACGCATACGTTCTTATATACAGGCCAACAGCCAGATAAAGAGGTGGCAGCATCGCCCTACCCGACAATTGTCAAACAAAAAACCGGTAAACAGGTTCCAATCGTTCAAGCATACATGTCCGCAAAATACTTGGGCAAATTGGAAATCCGAGTAAGTTGCTATTTTTTTGACATCATTAATTCGAACTAATATCGTTGAATTTTCTTCATAGATTAGTAAAAATGGGAATATAACCATGTGGAACGGCAATCCTATTCTAATGGATGCAAAAATTCCTCAAGACCCCGCATTTTTGGCATTGGAAAATAAATATCGAAAAAAGGAAGCGAACGGTCCCAAACCAATTGCTGAATCAAAATTAGATTTTTGTTCGTACCGATGTGTCTTCTGGGAATGTGGCATTGGCAATATGATGACTGATGCATTTATTAAAGCAGCTAAAACAAAATTGAATGACGCTTCATTTGCTTCGTCGGTTGCTTTGATTACCTCAAGAAACATTCGCGGTAGACTTAGTAGCGGATATCTCGATATCGCAGACTTGAGTGGTCTTGTGAAGTTCCCCAGTGAATTGGTAATCGTCAAGATTTCAGGTGAACAATTAATGGCGGCTCTTGAACATTCGGTAGGAAAATACCCCGGAAATTTCTTACAAATGTCTGGACTACGCGTAGTTTTTGATGTGGCAAGTGAACAGGGTAGCCGTGTTGTGTCAGCGGAAGTTCGTAATTCGAATTCAACGTACGATAAACTTGATTTAAAAACGGAATATAATGTCATTATTACAAAACATCTATTTGAAAAGGGCAATGGATACACTATGTTCAGTGTAAGTTTTTAGGCTCGAACTTTTTTATAGCAATGAATTTTAATGTTCTCTATATTAAACACACAGGATTGTCAAGCGAAATTCTTGTCAATTTCAATATTTGATGCATTTAAAAGCTACATTGAGGAGATGCAAGTCATCAACCCTGAACCTGTACATGAAGGTCGCATAACGGTTCGGAATCCACCTCCGCTGCCACTTGGTGCACCACCATTGTATGCACATTATTAAGATGGAAATCCTACAGGCATGCGTGATCCCATAGGGTATCGGAGCTATTTTGAAAGCTTCACCTTTGGCGATATTATTTCATAAATGAAGAGCAAAAAAGTCACCACTTCCAACTTAAATGATTTTTCTATATAGTTCCAGTGTAAGAGCAGTATAATGTATAAAAACCCTACGCATACGTCTGGTAACCATCAATTTGAAGAAATTATATAATGTTTTTAAATTTTGTTATAAAATATGTTCCATATTCAGCAATAAAAATACGCAAAAGTCATCTTAGTTTGACTACTTATGCAAGATTGGTCATCATGCATTTGGCCTCAATTCGACTAAGTTGTTCTTTGATGCCCCGTTCATTTGATCTTCAATGAAAATGTACATTTTCATATTTGAAGTGAAGCGAATTGATCTTCTTATTGAAGTATTTCTTTTTCTCATTGTGTATACCCGAAACAGGAATATTTTACAAATGAATCCACATAAAACTCATGCAATATATTCATCATGAAACTGAAAGAAGAGAGAAGCGTTAAGCTTGCGGTTTTGCTTAAATGCAAAGCCAACCATCGACATGAATACACACTCACAGTCGACCGTCAGAAAGACACCCAGAAAGAGAGAGTAAGAGAGATATGGTAAAAAATGTAAACCATTTACACACGATAAGCGGCAATGCCAAAAAAAAGATAAATGGAAATTGAACCAAAACAAAAACGTAGTCCATAGAGCAAAAAAAAGAAGCTTTGCCATACAAAATACAGGTCATCATCGCGTTTCAGCTGCTCGGGAATACTATACTTGTACAAAAAGGAAAATAAAACCAAAGCAACAAGAGCAGAAAAAAAGCATAAACAAACACACGATTTGGTTGGGAAAAGCGGATATGAAAAAACGGACAGAAAAGAGTGTGTGTGTGTAGTAGTAGTAGGATGGATGGCGCTTTATCAGATGATGAAAATGAATAACGTTGTAGCTCAACTCCGTGAATAGTATTTATGCGAGACGATTCTCTTTCGCTTGTTATGCTTTGGCAATATTTGGACTTTGAAATATCACATGAATTGTTATTTGCTTGGATTCGTGCACTTTTTCGACATCGTCATCGTCGTCGATGCCTTTTTTCATGTGCACGTTTTCCGCAATTTCGTTTTGTCTCACCGCAATATCGATGGGGATGGCTAGCGTGTACCGAATGCACGTATATGTGCAATTACTGGATTTTCATTTCCTTGATGGAAATCATTGCAATGAATAAAACGAAAGCTGTTGAAATGTTTGCTTTTGATCGCATAATACTATTGCTGCATTTTCTGCTTAATATCGACCATTTTCACAAAGAGATCCAGATACGGGAAAAAAAATTCAATTTTCCTGTGCATTGTTCCTATTAATTCCTCGACTTGCGGCTGACAATGGCACACAAAAGAGAGGGAATATTCTTGATGGAAAAATTATCGATCAAGAAACGTTTTCAATTGAATTGCTTGCAAACAAACAAACCACATCAAATAACTAATAACTTTTTTTCATTTTCATTTCGAATGAATTTCCAATGTTAGAATCATATGCGGCATGATTTTGCTTTTGTAAAACTCCAGCCATTATCGTAAATGAAAAGAGAAAATTCACCAAAAATGAGAGCATCAATAAAAAGTGGCAAAGTTTATTGTTTACGAAAAACCAGCGATTTTTATGTTCTTTTGAGTTTTTTTAATATTTTTTCTGCTTCTTTTTCTGATTTCACTTCAGGGGTGGTATATTTCCTTTTTTACATCAAATAAATCACGGTTTGCTCAAAGGTTTTTCACACAGAGACACAAAGAAATGAAAAATTTCTGGTTTTTGTCATTTGCTGTGTGTTTCCGCGTTCTTTCTTTGCCAAGAAAGAGAAAGCAAGCAAGAGAGAGAGAGAGAGAGAGAGAGAGAGAGAGTCATAATGTGATCTGGAGTGCGGTGACAAGGAAACAACTGAAATGTAGGAAATAAAGCAGCAACATTGAAAAGTGAATGGGAAAATCGTTGATAAAGAAAACAGAATTTATGAACCTGGAATTGGCAATGCACAAAACACACCATGCAACGGGAAGACCAAAGAGAGAAAACACAAAACAAATTGAAAATGGCAAGGGGAAAAAACATCAAATCTGAAGCCATTTTATTCATTAGAAGTGAATTTTTGCTCCTGCTGTTTTGGTAATTCACTTCATACTTTGATTCAATCGGCGCGGCATCAAGCAAAAAAGAGGCAGGAAACAGAGAAAAAAAGGCAACATCACCTTTGAATTAAGGGGGCTCAACCGACAGAAAACAACAAAAATCGCACACCAAAACAAACAAATGTGGCGACTGCGACGACGACAATGTCAACGACATGGCAGCCAAACAAACAACCCACACGGCCCAAGGCAGCCATTTGCGATTTCAAAACGAAAGCAGATAAAATTACGACAGTCATGAAAAGTCATGCAATTGGCGCTATGCATCGTCGACATGTCTCAGCGACAATTCTACCGAATGAAATATTATTCGCTTTCTTGTTCGTTCAGTCGAATCCGAAAAACTTGCCTCGGTGAATCTGTGTTGACACACATATAAAACAATGAAAACGAAGCACTGGCTTTGGTTTGAAGCTTTTCAAAAAGGAATCGAGGAAAAACGAACAACTTTCGAAAGTTATTCTCTTTTTTTTGGGGGGTACAAGCGAGGACGAACGAGTATAAATTGCAAAGAAAAACCTTTTGGAAAAGTTCAATTGCAACACATGCCCCAGCGGGTGAATTACATTCGCAGTCCTTAAACTGCAAATACTACATTTCAAACCGACTTACTACTATTTATCAAATTCGTTTCGTCTTTTTGTGACACAACAACAATGGTGACAAACAAAATCGGGCAGAAGTGAGAGAAGTAGGAACCGAAGCAAGATTCATTGCACATATTCGAGAATTAAGTGAATGCTTTTGACTTCCAACCACCAGCGGTGTGTGTGTGTGTATGTAGGTTTTTTTGGTTCTTGTTTGCTCACTTTGAAGTGGCCAAATATACTAAAGTCAAAACTGTTCTAAACATTTCAATTTGTTGCAATGCAACGAAGAAAGTAGGAAAAGTCACCAGGGGCATGAGGTTAAAAGTCTTTCGAACTCGAAGTCTTTCTTATCGAAAAGTTAATACTCGAAATGAATTAATCCAGAATCGATCGGGCAAAAGAAGTGAGACAAGCAATCATATACACAAATTTATGTACATGTAATAGAATCAATGCACATTTTAAATTGTTTGTCGGTCCTTTTCTCTCTCAGCCCCCTCTTCTCCCTGTCTCTTTTTCCCATACAAGGAAGAAAAACTTCAACAGTTTTCAAACTAGATTAGATCAAAGCTTGCTCGCACACCCAAAGGTAAATAGTTTGCAGCGGTGTGGGAATAAGGGTGTATGTGTCATAGTTTTAAGAGCTCAACAATGAAAAACATTTAAATAGCGAACAAGCCAACGAGATGTCGAAGCGATATCAAAAATTTAACTTAACGAACGACAAAGTTTTTTTTCTCATAAATAGAGAAAAGTACTTTTCAATGTTTTCTCGTTACTTCAACATGGTTTCCACGAGATTTTCCCTTTTCCTTTCTTGTTTTTTAGTCCCGAAAAAAGCAGTCGGTTACCGTTCAGAATTTGTGTTTGAATTAAATCGAAACTGTTTTGGGACAAAAAGTGGGTTTTCTGCGGTTTTTTTGAAAACTTTGTGCAATAGAGCAAAAGTGTAAAATTTGATTTGAAATTTTCTAGAGAGCGAGCCAAGCAAAAAGATTGGTCGTGTGTGATGAGCTTAGTATCAAAAATTCAAGTCGTTGTGGTCTGCTTGCCTTTTGTAAGACTCAACTGATACATTTTATACTATGGCAACACATTGTCATCGGCAACATCAAGAAGAAGCAGAAAAAGCGTATAACAAATTTATGTTTAGCACTCGTATAATAATGCATCAACAAAACGGGTATAGATTCCACGCAAAATGGGATATCATAGAAAAATATCAAATGGGATCAATGATGTAAACGTAAATCCCCTTTGCTCTGCTTCAACTTTTGAAGTGTGTTACTTTAGACAAAAAAGCGACGAGGATATGTGACAAATATTCAATGCACGTAAACGATTTTGCTCAAAATAAATGTCTCTCTTGTACAATACTGTCCGGTGCTTGCACATATTGCCTTCTACTTGATTTTCTATCATCGCGTCACTTTCCTCTGGTATATATATGTGTGTGTTCGTCCATTTAATACCAATGTAAAAAGATAAAGTGAACAAATTACAAATAAATACTCACACATATACACAAATAACGTTTTGTCGCATCATGCGACCGAAAGTTACGGAACGATATAGTTTTAAAACTGAAAACGAGTATATGGGAGAAAGTTTCCCTGCATTTTGTCCATTTTCCGTGTGAAGCAAAGGAGACAAATTAAATATTTTAGCTGTTTTTATTTGACGTGCTAATGGAAACGAGTCGTCGCATAAACGACGAACAAGAAAAAAAGACGGAAGAAGAAAAAGAAAGAGAAAAAAAAATACACTTTGTTGTTTTTCTTTTGTGAGTGTGTGATTGAATTTACTTGTGCAATCTCAAATATTGTCAGAGAGAGAGAGAGAAAGAGAGTGAAAAAGAAATCACCGGCACACGTTCGACATACACACGGTTCGTAAAGAGTGAGAAATGCGAGATGAGATGAGCAAAGTTGAAATTCCGTGTTTAATGTCAATTTTCCTTTGTCTATTTATCTAATGGTGTCTTTGTCATTAGATGAAATTCACTTCATTGAATGGTATATGATGACAATGGATTCGGAAATTCGATTCAGAAATTTATTTTCAAGAGAATTTCCAAAAAAGTTGCCAACAAAATTGGATCAAATAAAATTATCAACACTCGGCAAAAACGCATTAAAACAAGAAAAAGCCGAAGTGAAAAATGTGCCCGGATTCAAAAGGTCGATCAATATTTAATGAACATGTGCAAATGATGATAATTTAAAGGTGCAAAGTTTTCATTTAAATAATTCAACGAACACGTTGTTGAATCGAAGTTAAATCCATTTCACGTATGGGAATTTAAAGGGGTTGATTTTTATATATGCATATCATGTCGTCATGGCTTTATTTTTGCAGTTAATCCCAATGTTGTAACACATTCAGTAACTTCATTTAGTCGATTACTTGATTTTCACCTTTTCGGCACAACAATCAATTTACCATCGCAGGTAAATTATATTCGACTGTTTTATAGGTTTGCCCTTAGTAGAAATAACATCGGTACTGCTGATGCTGCTACAG